AAGAGTCCCCCTTGACCCCAGGGACTGGACTAAAAAAAGATCTTGAAGGATACTGCCCGCTATAACCTCGGATGCCATCATTCTTTTCCGAGTCCAGTGCAGAAGCAAGGGGGAGAGTTGACTACATACACTCCAAGATAGCAGGGTGTGGGCAAGGGAGCTTTAAACCCTGTTAAAGGGCAGAGGATTAACCCCACCTTCATGAACAACCAGTGCTTCTTGGCACTGAGGGGGCACCATGGCGGCGAGTGGCAAGCAGGGATCGCCTGCAGCTGCCAGTGTCAGCAGGGTGGCGAGCGGGGACCACCCGCAGACGCCACTGGCCGCATCAGTGATAGGTGACTGAGTCCTTTCAGACTCTGGAGACTGGCTCCACATCTATAACGCCCCCCTCAGTTCAAGAAATCATGAGTTGCCCAATCTCCAGAAAGCACTGTCCCAGCATGAGTTGCCTGGGCAGTGGGACCCACCGCCCTCCTTCCAGCTGCTGTTCTTGTTACCTTTAGGGCTGCTGGAGTCCTCTTCCTCCGCAGACATGCCCATAGCTTCAGCCGTTGTGTGCAGGGTTCAGAGGACAGGGCTGGGCTGAACAGAGGAAGCACAGGCAGCAGTTTCCTTCAGTGATTCCACTCACAGCTCCTCAGGGACTCATTGTATTACTGCAGACACATTCAGGATGTCGGAAGGGAGGGAGAGGGGCAGAGGAGGGGGGGAGGGGAAGACAGTGAATAATGCTGACATTTTTCACTCTTTGTAAATGAAATCATTCAGTGCACAGGGCTGCCGCCATGCATGCATGCCTGGGAATGCAAACTGCATATGCACATTTGTATGCATAGTTGATTTTGTACATAACCATGCCCGGGTTCTGAACAGATTCACTCTCCTTCATGCTCCATCTGTATCTGCATACGGCTATGTATTCATATCACATGCATGTGCCAGTCAGTGAGACTATCTGGCTCTAACTCCCTGTGTGCACTATGTGTTACTTGTGTAGAGAGCTGTACGAGTTTACATCATATGCCAATGTTGCTGGGGGGAAGGGAAGGGCTGTACACCTGTTTTTGTCATGTGTGCTTGAGTGCTGTGGGCTGTGCCTGAGTTTATACTGAAGACTGATGTCTGTATAAGCACCTGTTTGTTTATGTTACATTCCAATTCAAGAAACTGAATTAGCATATGGCTTTCACATTGCTGATATCCCTCACAAAATTATGTAGATGCTGAAAGTATAGGGAGTCCTGATGTAAGCAACTTTCACAAGCTTTAGAAATTACTTTAGGAGCAGGTGCCTTTCCCATCCCACTCCCAGACATGGCCCACACGTTGTAGAGAATGCAAACTCGCCCCCTTCCCTGGGGTTGGGTTTGTTAACATAGAACTTCCCACTCTTGAGCGTACAATAATAACCTTTTACAGAAGCAGGATGCCAGCTGCTGTGATTCCCCTGCTTTACCTGTGTAAGGGTGTTATGTCGTGTGTTATGGCAGGATTTAGGGGTACACCAATAGAAATGTTGGGGGCTGATACCAATAGCCGATATTTAAGGAGGCATATAGGCCGATGCCAATCCGATATCCAATACAGCTGCCTCCAGGTGGTGTTTGTTGTGGTGGAAGGGGCGTGGGAGGGGGGCAGATCAGTACCCCCCCTCCCCCCACGGTGAGGGAGGGAGCAGGTGCTGCCCAGACAGGGCAGGGGTGCGGGAGGAAGGAACAGCCTGGGGGGGGCGGTGGCCCCCGCCGCTGCTTGCACCACGGGGGGAGGGTGTATCCCCGGATCCGCGCAGGCCGGCGCAGCGCGGGACTCTTCCCAGCAGGGGCTAGGCTCGGAGCAGGCACCAGCGGCGCTGAGAGGGGGCTGCAGCCACCCCACATGTCGCCACAGCTCCGCTCCCAGACAGCCTCGGCTCTTCCTAGCGTGTGGGTAGAAGTGGGACATGGTGCCTGGTGACATGGGGCTGGGAACGGAGCTGCAGCAAAATCTGGGGTGGCTGCAGCATTCCCCAGCGCTTCCGGTGCCCGCTCGGAGCCCAGCCCTCCCCGAGAAGAGTCGCGCAGCACCAGCTCCAGCTCCAGCCCGCCCCGCGCAGGCCCGGGGGCGCACACCCCGCTGCCCTCCCAGGGTGCAAGCGGCGGCGCAGCCACCCCCGCCCCCACGAGCTGCGCCTCCGTGCCATGCCCCCTCCCCCACCCCACCTGAGCAGTGCCTGCCCCTGCCCCCTCCCTCTCACCGTGGGAGGCATTGATCTGCCCCCCGCTTCCGATTTACCAGGTGGAGGAAGCTCGCCACGCTGCGCTGTGGCTGCGCACATGCAGGGGCATTTATGGGCCAAATTATCAGCCCCATCAGGCCGATAAACGACACAGCAAATTTTTTCTACATCGGTACCGATCCGATATCAGATGTATTGGTGCACCTCTATCGGGGTTGATGGCAGTTTTGCAAAGCGTTTAGATTATGATTTGTACAGGATGATTTGGATAGGGATGATCCTACCTCAGGCAGGGGGTTGGACTAGATGACCTCTGGAGGTCCCTTTCATCCCTACTTCTCTCTGATTTCTATGATAAGGACTTGTTCCAAGCGTCTCCCCAAACTGGGCTACCCCTAGCATTGCTCCTTCAAGAACAGTTCAATGCATCCCTTAGATTCACTCCCATTTTCCCTATATGTAGATGGGGCAATAAATCACCTGCTTCAGAACAACTCATGATATGCTTTCTGGTCATGAATACCTGTTAACTGGGTATAGTATTTCAGCCAGTACTGCAGAATTTCATTAAATTAATGGCTGCATTAGAAAACATGGTGATAATTAACCACGCTGTGACAGGAAATTGACAGAAAAAGAATTCAGAATTTCTGCTACAAATAAACCTAACAATTATAACTAGAAACTTTCAAGATACCTTTATACTGCAAATGTAATTCTATTTATACAACTAAAGACATGCATGGCCCTTATAAAATCAGCATTCACCTGGTATAAACAGCACATGGATAATGTAACCAAATACCTGATGTTGCAGTCAAAAGCAGGATTGGAACCTAGTGCAGTTAAGGATTGACATGACGATTAATGACAGAAAGGCTTTAATAACTATATCACACATGGGCTATAAAACTAAATGATAGGAAAAGACTCCTTCCCAATATTCAGTAAGCTGAGCTCATATTCAGATGAGCTATCACAAAAGTCCTAGTATATGTCAGCTGCAAGAGTGTCTCTCACCAATGCAGGCATGAAGCGGTTTCCATATTTGCAGCCTTCACTGGGCATGGATCTGTGGCCGGGAGTGATCAGTTGGGTGCAGGTTACAATTTTTTTTTTTTAGAAAAATATATATCTCTATATATAAATAGATAGTTATATATATATACACCATCTAGCATACCATTCTTCACAAAACTTAACCCACTTTCAAAACCTTATACCCGTCTCCAAAAAACTCACATCCGTGTACCCGTTACAATAACTGCACCCACACACCCGTGCTCCCGTCCACCTTCCTTTCCTTGTTACATGTACACTGTCCCTTTGGTTCTTATTCCAGTTCTGAGCTTTAAACCCTCAGTTCAGTCACTGCCACTGTCCCTGGTGGTTCCGCTGTTGCTGTCACTGCTGCTGTCCTCATCGCTGTCACTTGACTTGGTTGACTCATTGTCTCCTTCGCTGTCACTGCCTGCTTCCCCTTGAGGCCGGGGTCTTTCAAGAGCCTGTGCCAACTGTCCCTCTGCCAGGTGGTGTTGGCCACCTCCTCTCTGTCCTCTCCTACCACTTTTTGGTAGTAGGACTGGAGCTCACTCAGTACCATTTTAACACAGTCTGCTACCTCCAGTTTTGTGTGCCTGTACATCAGGAGGTTCCTGGACTTCCACAGGGTGCTCCTGAAGCAGGACATGAACTGATCAAAGTGCCTGTATAGCACTACTACTCTCATCATCTGTCCAACCCCTGTCATCACTTCGCAGAGTTGGTTTACTTTTATCCACACCTCCCTGGTGTATGGGCAGAGCCATAGGAGGTGGTTGATGATCTCTGATGCACCTTGGCAGATTTCCCTAGGGCAACTGAGTTAACCTCTCTGCCCCTCTGTGTCTCTGTGCCCTCACTGGGAGTGAGCAACAGACTATTAGCCAGTTCAGGTCTCTGTGGTCTTTTTGTAGGTCCTTGTGGAAGATCTGTTCCCATGTGGCCTGGCAACCATTGCCAGGGAGCAGCTCCACAGTTGACAGCATGTCTCTGACTGCCTCTTGTATCTTCCTGTGGTTAGACACAGTTGCGGGGACTTCGTTCTGTAGCTCGTATTCACTCTAGAACTAATTCAGGACCTTGCAGAACCAGGGGTGTTCCATGGGCCACGATCTCCTGTTGATTGGTGTGAACACCCCCCACAATCTCAGAAGGTGTCCTGCAAAAGACCTGACAAGACAGGCTGTTTTGGACTCTATGCCAGTCACCAGTTTACAGATCTGCCTCGTGTACCATGCCCACAGGAACAGGAGTATGTCTGGCATTCCCCGGCCCCCAGTCCATTTCATTTTGTAAAGGGTCTTCCTTGCCACCGCCTCCCATCTGGATCCCCAGAAGACACACATGGCTCTCTAGATTCTGTGGGTGAGATGCTTCGGAGTGGGAAAGACCCCTGCGGTGTACAGAAGCACACTGCCTTTGAGTGCCAGGTGCCTCCCCATGGAGAGGCAGCGCATGTGCCACAGACCCAACCTCTGCTTAACTTTGGCCTTTGTCTTTTTCTATGCCTTCCTTCCACTCAGCTCAGGGTTGAACTCCACCCCAAGGATCTTGACCCCCTCATGAGGGACAGAGACCCCCAGGGACATTAGGTCCCCAAGCTCTCCCACACCCAGACAGATGCTTTTACTTACATTGACCTTGGTCCCTGCTACCACTTCATAAACCTGTGTGTGCCACAGGGCTCTTTCTACTGACCACTTATTGTGGCACAGGATGTTCAGGTCGTCCATGTACGCCAGGATCCTGGTCTCTTCTTTGCTGCTGCTTGGGATCTGAACTCCACGTATCCCAGGGTCCTGCCTAATGCGCTGGGCTGGGGGTTCAATCGGGCTGGGTGCACATTACAATGTTGCAGAGATTTTTCTCTCTCTCCTGAAGTGCACACTTTTGCCAGCAACTGTCTTTCATTCTTATACAATTTAACTGTATAGCTTCAAAGCATTCCTTCTTGATAGTTAGTTGATTAAAGTTCAAACAAAGCAGGTAGGGAGGGACCACATTACAATTGCTAACTGCTCAGATCCTGTTTTGGGCCGTCTAGTTGTGAAACTTATTTTTCCAAACTTTTGATCAGTCCAGAGGTTACACTTCAATCAAATAGGATGGGTCTTGATTGACTGAACAAGATACCTTGTAGAACTGATCACAGAACAGTGTTTTGGGTAGTTATTTTAACAATAGGGCAGAACCCAAAATAGTCTGAGCTGGTGATGGTTTATGGAGACATTTGCAAAACTCCAAACAAACACTGAATAACTGTTCTGACAAATATGCCTTAATCCAGGGAGAATGTGTCAGCAAGGAAGATATAGTCACATAGGAATATACAGTTATTTATGAGTGGTTTAGCATAAT